GCTAAACCTATGGAGAAAAAGTCTGAAAAAGGAGAAGAAAAAAAGGAAAAAAAAGAAACTAGAGATGTGTTTGTGGACAAACACAAGCTGTTTCGGATATTCGAAATACTCTGTGCATGTGATGAACAATCAGTGACGTCACTAAAAATGTCATCTATAACAGCACATTATACGTACATGTCAAGTTATAACCAAATCGAACATAAAGGTCTGTAAATATAGGCCAATGAAGAACAAAATGCCCCTTTAAGGGACGTCACATGACATTTGATGATGACATCACATGAATGTTCATCTATAACCCATCTTGGCATTGGTACGATCACGAATTTCTTCTAGGACCATCTGTGGGTGGTAGTCTAAGTGTATACCAGGTATAACGTCGATCGCATAATTTACAAAAGTGCCAAAGTAGAGTGTTTTAAAACGTGTACAAACCCTATGGGGAAAAATGCATCTTTAATGTGATGTAACCCAACACATGATGACGTCACGATCAAGAATTTCTTCTAGGACCATCTGTGGGTGGTGGTCTAAGTATGTATTAAGTCTGAGGTCGATCGCATTTATGAAGGTGCCAAGGTGGAGTGTTTTAAAACGTGTACAAAGCATATACGGAAAATGTGCATCTTTAATGTAAGATAGCGTAACAACTGATGACGTCACGATCACGAATTTCTTCTTGGACCATCTGTGGATGGTGGTCTAAGTATGTATTAAGTCTGAGGTCGATCGCATTTATGAAGGTGCCAAGGTGGAGTGTTTTAAAACGTGTACAAAGCATATAGGGAAAATGTGCATCTTTAATGTGAAGTAGCGTGACAACTGATGACGTCACGATCACGAATTTCTTTAAGGACCATCTGTGGGTGATGGTCTCAGTGTGACCAAGTGTAACGTCGATCGTATTTACGGAAGTGCCGAAATGGAGCGTTTTAATACATGTACAAACCCTATGGGGAAAAATGCATCTTTAATGTAACGTAACCTGACACTTGATGACGTCACAATCACGAATTTCGTCTAGAACCATCTGTGGGTGGTGGTCTAAGTATGAATTAAGTTTAAAGTCGATCGGATTTACGAAGATGCCAAACTGGAGTGTTTTAAAACGTGTACAAAACATATGGAGGAAAATGCATCTTTAATGTGACGTAACCAGACACTTGATGACGTCACGATCACGAATTTCGTCTAGAACCATCTGTGGGTGGTGGTCTAAGTATGAATTAAGTTTAAAGTCGATCAGATTTACGAAGATGCCAAACTGGAGTGTTTTAAAACGTGTACAAAACATATGGGGGAAAATGCATCTTTAATGTGACGTAACCAGACACTTGATGACGTCACAATCACGAATTTCGTCTAGAACCATCTGTGGGTGGTGGTTTAAGTATGAATTAAGTTTAAAGTCGATCGGATTTACGAAGATGCCAAACTGGAGTGTTTTAAAACGTGTACAAAACATATGGGGAAAAATGAATCTTTAATTTGATGTAACCTGACACCTGATGACGTCATGATCACAAATTTCTTCTAGGACCATCTCTGGGTGGTGGTCTAAGTAGGTACCAAGTCTGAAATCAATCGGATTTTAAAAAGTGGCAAAGTGGACTGGTAGAAGAAACGTGTGTTAAACCTATGGGGAAAAAGTCTGAAAAAGGAGGGAAAAAAAAAAAAAAAAAAAACTAGAGGTGTTTGTGTACAAACACAGCTGTTTCGGCTGTTTGGAAAGACTGCGACTTGTGACGACATCGTCATGATGTCACTATTAAATTCACGTATGACACTATAACAAGAAGTTACAACTCAATCAGTTATTTAGCTGAAACGAAACAACCGATAAGATGAGACGGTGACAGAAAGTGTTAGGTATGACACGTGATGATTTAAGGTACTTTTCGAAAGAGAAATGGGACAAATATTTCAAAAATTGAGAGAAATTGACAACATTAATTGTTTTGACCGCTGCACATTTTGAATGGCCCTTTTGGTTTCATGCTTGACGACCTATGCACATAACACAATTACAAGCGAATCGGACCTTAGTTCGATCACATACCAAGTTACAACCAAATCAAGTTACAACGTATAGTTCTTTAGATATTCATATAGACCACAGAAACAATGTCCCTTTAATTAACATGACATGAAATCACATAACATGCAATGACGCCACGATAATATCACACTATTTTTCATCACATCCCGGTAAACGTACATATATGTACATGTACATGTATTAAGTTACAACCCAATCCGACATAAAATTGGTTTAATATGACGTCACATAACTTGTGATGACGGTATGATGACGGCAATTAACTTTTATCTGTAGCACATCCCAATATAAGTGCATAGAAAGTTACAGCTAAATATGACCTATAGTTCTGTAGTTATAAGCTTTAGAAACATGCCCGTTTCATGTGTTGTAACATGACTTGTGATGACGTCATGATGACTACAATTTTCTTATGCATGTATAACAAATCCCAAAATAGGTTACTACCAAGTTTCAACCACATCGGACCAACAGATGTGTAGTTATAGGCCTCAGAAAAATAATGGCGGTTAAATACACCGAATCTGAGTTTCTCTCCAACGCTTTTAGTTTGTGGGCCTACGTACTTAACAACCAACGTACAAAATACAATGTACATCAATTCTGAGTATCCGTGTATACAACAAGTGTATAGGTATATATCGTCGTCGTCGTCCACAAAAACAATCAAATCTGTGTTTCTGTCTTAACCGGCGTTGTATGTGAACCAAGCAGCTAACAAAACATATCAAATCTCTGTTTCCCTCAAACGCTTTAGTTTGCACGTACTTGCCAACTTACAAAATACATCAATTCTGAGTATCCCTGTATGCAATAAGTGTATGGGTAAATATCGTCGTTGTCGTCCACAAAAACAATCAAATCCGTGTTTCTGTCTTAAGCAGTGTTGTATGTGAACCAACCAGCTAACACAAAAAGCATAGGTGTATGCAAAATTAGAAATTCTTTAAATTTGTTTAGTTCTGATAAATCATGATTATTCCAACTCACATACCGAACTACAAGTTTGTGTCACATTTACGTAAGCCGCATAAATCTGTGGCATCATGACCGTCCCGCGTAGAGTACGTGGGGACCTGGGCCCAATTTGATGGCGCTGCTAAGCACACGATTTTCTGTTAACGGAGCCTCAGTCTATTTCACGGAGGCCGCAAGCAGTAAGCACTGCGAAGAGCTTGCTAACTTCACAAGCAAAATTTGGTTGAAGTCGTGACGCAACAATAGTTTGATCGGCGTTTGTGGCGGGTGCGCGGGCTTCTCATTTTATTAAAGAGGCCGGGGGACATGTATTTTGTGGACAATGCAGGTTTTGTGGTGTAAACTTACAAAATAATGATTTCATTTTGCCACTTACGTACGAATACGTAATAAAGTATATTACATGTACTGTGTACATGTATTACGATTTTCAATGAGGATACTCGACATCTTTACCTCAGCATCAAAATGCGCGTTCAGACTTTACATTCAAATTTTTCAAAAGCGTGGATCTTTTAACTGCATTTTGCAAGATTGAGGTTTCAGAAACCTGCGAGCAGGCCTTGTTTATCACAGATATTATCTGTTCCTAAAACTCGCCTGGCTACTGCGGGGACCGGGCGCAATTCCAGTTGTGCACCACGTCTCGGGAATTCGTTAATTACCAGACGAGTTAAGGGAAACAACTGATGTGTCATCATTCAAATGCCATAAGACTCATCTTTTCAATGTTTCGTTTGAACCACAGTGATTTTGTTGAGACCGGCGCGTTTGAATGGTCCTCCAGATACCATGCGCCTTATATATTTTGTTATTATTATTATTGGTACGGACGATTATACTGATGCGTCAACATTTGTGAAGGTACATAATTAGCGCCATATCCTATATCCCCTATATACTTTAATTAAGATTAGGTTAACATCCAAGAAAAGTTGCGACTTTTCATTTTGCTATATATTTATGATGTCATAATGTCGACGCTCAATGTTTTTTATTGGTTTTTTTTAGCCACTCTATAAATAAAAAGAATGGCATGGATCAGCAAAAGTACAAAAACTGTGGTCCATGGACCAGACCTGCTGCCCCAGTCGAATGTTCGTCTATTAGACATAATATTATAGCTAAATACGTTACAACCACATCTGATATAATAGTTCTGTACTAAGAGCTAGTTAGGCCTTAGAAATATCCCCTTTAATGTTACGTCCTATACGATTGTGTGATGCGTCTTTGAATTGGAAAACAGATTTTTAAAATGAAAGAGCCTTGTGTTGGTAGATTAATTGTAAGAAGTGTGGCGATTAGACGTTACTTAAAAAGATATGCGGTGATCAATGTGTTATTCGGGTGCTGTTGCAATTGTAAGAGGTATACGATGGTGGTGACATTCTGATAGGGTGTCACTAAAGAACGCAGGATGACGTTTGCAAGGACGTCAAAATTAATGTGTTATATTTTTTATGCAAAATCGGTGCATGATCTAAAACTCATTTTAAAAGATGTACAAAGATGTCGAATCATTGTCTGTTCACTATGAAGTAATGCATATGAAGTTTCTTTTGGAAACAGCTTTTTGTTTAATTGTTTTTTAATTAATCATAAAACCCGTGAATGTGGGTACATTGAGGTTATGTTTTGAGTTCTAAAAAGGTGGTATTATGATATAAAGATTATTTGTGTGGATGGTAAACAAGTATTTGGGTTTGGAATTGAGAAATACAATCCGTATTGAAGGAATAAAATGACTCGGCGGTGCCCGCGGCGCGGCTTCGGCGGAAGTGTCCTCGCGTTATAGGCCCGGCTACACGCGCGCAAAGTATAGGCTTTGGGAAAGTTGACTTTCTTGTCGCGAAAGAAAGGGCGCCCTCTTTATTGAGGTAGAAGGTGCATTGACCTCTAGCTGTGAAAATGACGCGTTGGATGTAATGGGCATGGTAACGTCCGGTAGCTTGGCTACAGAAAGTGTTGGGCCATGCTAAGCTGTACACGGTGTACCAGACTATTGTGGAGACGGTGAGATACGGCGTGGTACTATTGTTGGTTTAGTTTAGGGGTTTGTTTCGGTGTTTTTTATGGGATTATTTACATTTCTTTGTATGTGTGTGTTACAATAATTGGGGAACAATAGGTGTGGTTGTATTATATCGATATATCAGGTGTGAAATGGCGCATATTACCGTGAAGTGCTTCATGTCTGTGCGTAGCCCTGGACTGCCTTTGTAAACATAGGCCACACGTACATGTACATCCACACGTACAAAAATGTGTCGCACTTTGCCAAATTTTGATTTTCACATTTAGACTTAGTTTGTAGGTTTTTTTGCTTTAGAAGCAAACTCACCCCCTGAATAGGCTAATCAGGAAGTGTTGCCTTTTTCAGATGGCTAATTTTTGTGAAATTTCATGTTGAAATTTTGATACGCAAACGTGTGCAAATGGATCTGGAATTTTCACGAAAAATAGACATCTGGAAAAGGCAGCACTTTCTGATTAGCCTATTCAGAGGGTGAGTATGCTTCTAAAGCAAAATAAACTTCCAAACTAAGCCTAAATGTGAAAATCAAAATTTGGCAAAGTGCGACATGTTTTTGTACATGTGGATGTGTGGCCTATGTTTTCGGAGGCAGTCCAGTAAATAGGCCACATTTATGGGGCTAGTCTGTACGTAATTGCTATGCCCGCTATGCCTAACTCAGTAACTGTTTATACTAACATTATTTTGTCATGGGAAAAATGATGCATGTACATGTAGTCTAGTTGTACAATAGTTTGATACCACCTTGGTGATCACTGAAAAATAATGAAAGGTGAGGGGGGGGGGCATATAGAAGTGCACATGTTATGTCATGTTATGACTGTATTTGCCAACTAATAATAGTAATGAGACTTATTCCTAGACAATGCTAGAGTTGGGGTTTATATAAGATGTAAATATAAAATTAGGAAAGAATGACGGTTTTATTATTGAATTATTTTAATGGAATAATTCAGTCTGATGCAAAGTTATCAGGGATTTACTTGGACATGTTAGATAAGGCTCGCTGTTTGTGTGGGAATTTCCTGCATACATGTACATGTATATAGTTTGCAAAGAAAATTGCATTGTTCTCTTTTTACAAACATGAATAATTCTCAAGATATGTCATGGTCAAGTTGTTTTGTCAGCTGTGTGAAATTATGAGTTTAAAATTCTCACTGAGTATTAAGTGAAATCATTGTCTAATTTAATGTTAAAAACATGGTGGCATTAGTGACTTAAAGTCAGTTTTTATATCCTACAATTAAATGACAAAGATGTGTATGTCGTTATATAAAACAAATAATGAATGTTTTTCATTCGTGCAATGGAGAGAATATTTCCATTCGTTGAAAGAAGAAATGTTCCATCTTTCAACTCATGGAAATATTCTCACCATTGCACTCGTAAACATTTATTATTTGTATACTTTCCCAATTGTACTTAAGATATTGAGGAGGGGGGCTTAAGTACTTGACAATTGTAAATGACCAAACTTTCTATAATGAAGGGGGGGTAAAGCCTGTCATTTTGTTAGAATTTGGCAATTTTTAAGTGTTCATTTGCTTTTCTCTGTTTGTTTTTCCTTGGGGGGGGGGGGTGGCCATTTTGGGTGATTGCCTCCGAATACGCTGTTACATTCATTCCAATGGAGAGTGGCCGTCTAGTTGGAAAATGTTATTTATAGTTGGGATATGTTGAGCTATACTTAAAGCTATAGTCCATCATTTGTAATTTGTGCATTTTGTTCGTTTGAAGCAACAAAAGTGTTCAAAATCTAATGAAGGATACTGAGCAACTAACCCGATGAAGTTTCAGCTCAGCTTCAGCTGTACATTCTGAGAAAAGCAGCATTCTAAGATCTCAATTTCAAATCAAAAGTTACTGAATCAAGTTTTGAATTGTTTTGAATTGCAGCTATACGCGGCGTCGCGCACTGATCCGACGAATTATAACAACCGCGCGCGCGTGTGCGTCGTTCCAATACTTGTGCGCGCTGCGCTGAATAACAAAACGAACTACTAAATTTAAATTTTCCTACGGTGCTTCTTAAGAATCACCGTTGGAAATGCCTTCTTTCATTGATTACTTCAAAATGACAGCTTCCCAGAAAGAATAATTTCACAGGGAGTTTAGTTCCCTTACTATCTTTCAACGAAGTTTGTTTTTCAACAGTAATTACGCCAGTTACTTTTCGGATGGCTGCAAATGATGGACTATAGCTTTAAGGACCGATGCTGTAGTCAAGGGCCATTCACAATAACTATGTTCATGGGAAAGAGTTCTATACACAAACAACACTTGACCCCCTGTGCACAAATCCTATGCGACTGCTCTGAAGAATTCTATTTTTTTGCTAAGTAAATGCCTTTATTTTTTTCACTACTATAATTTGACTGTTAAGGGCATGTCATTGCTGTTCATGGCTTTTAGGCCACTGTAGGGAAAAATAAGCGTTGTCCGTGTATGGAACTCTTCTGTATTTATAATATGTGTTATTTATCGTTTTTCTCTCTTTTCTCTGTTTTGCAGAAAATGGTGAAGACGCTGGAGAAGACGAGCTGTGACGTTCCTTCAACTTCCCTGAGGTTGGCACCTCCTCAGGGAAGACGCCTGCCTGTGTTTCACAGGCAGTGCGCAAACCAGCTGGTACACGCAGACTGTGTACTCGTACTCGGAGAACAAAGGTTCCAGCGTGTTCCTTGTTCTCACTGGGAGGGTACTGGGGCCAGCGTGCCCTTCAGCTGGATTAATCTTGAGAAAAGATGCACAGATAACATGAGATTACATGAGATTAAACAGAGAGAATATGAACAGAAACTAATCAGGAAATATGACTTGAAACTGAGAGCATATGAGTATAATCACAGAGCATACGAGTTTAACCTGAGATACCACATCGATGATACTGAGCCTAGATGCAGTGACTATCTTGTGCAGAGAAGAAGGGTGAGTGAACTGAAGATGCGGAGAATCAACAAAATGACAAAGCAGAGAGTAAGTAATCAGAAAGCATTGAGAAGCTTGAAGGTAAGCAGACAAACATGCTGTAGCAGAAGTCAGGTATTGGAAAGTTATGTAGAGTACTGTCAAGAGGCAAAGAAGGTTTCAAAACCAAATAGAAAGAAAATGAGAAGAAGTCAACGTAGACAGGCCTTCCACAGAATGAGGAATGGTAAGATGATCAAATTGCGCATGAGTAAGGAGGACAGAAGAAACCAGAAGAATGCCCAGAAGAATTTACAAAGTCACACTAGAAGAAGTTTGAGTTATGTCTTGAACAACATGCCAGATAAGGGAGACAAATGCATAGTGAAGAAACACAGCAGAAATCAGTATAAACCATGGAGATCACAAAAGAGTAAATTTTCAAAGAGATCGAATGTAAATGAAATTCAAGACAAGCAGTGCTGGTTGTGCGATAGGAGTATTAAGTCATCTAAAAACAACGTGCAGTGTGATGGCTGTGACATTTGGTATCATGTGCATTGTATGAATTTCTCAAAGATGAAACAGGTGTTGAGCAACAAAGCTGTGACATGGTTGTGCAGAAAATGTGGGAAGAGTACTTACTCTGAGTCTCTGTTATGTAATCTTGGTATTCCAACAGATGATAACCTGTATGACTTGACAGTTCAGGAGACATGCACCGATGATGTGGTCAGAGAGAGGTCCGTGAGTGGAATGTGCAGGAAGGACAGCAACAAAGACAATCAGAGAAAAAATGTAAGTGATGCAAAAAGAAAACAAAGAACAGGTTGCATGAAATTAATGACTGAAACCAAAGAAGTGGTGGTACGTAGGCAGACAGGTGGTTACTCACTACGGAGCAAGAAAAGCCAACCCCCAGAAGTACATGTAGATGATACAGATGAAAGTCAAACTAGCATGTCCAAACCTGTTGGAAGGAGGGGTAGAAGAGGTGCAAGAAATGGAAAGGTTGAAGACAGTGTTGATAAGGGCAGTAAAACTGGTGAACAAAGTTGTCAATCAAAGAATTTGCAAGGTGAATACAATTGTGAAACAACTCGTGAAACAGCATATCCAGTTAGTAGGAAACGGCAGCTACCAAGTGACAATAAAAGTGGTGAAACAAAACGTAAACAAAAGGAGGTACATGTACAAAATGCACATGAAGTTTTAGATAGCGAGCATGATGTCAAAGGTAATGTCAAAAAATGCAAAACTTTGCAACATGAAACATGTAAATCTGTGGGAGGCAAACACAATCAGGAGAGTAAAAGAAAAAGTAGTAGAGGAAAGAATTACATTGGATCAGACACAATGATTGTGCAGGGAAGTTTTCATCAAGGCAATCATAGATTTGGATGGAGTTCAGGAAAACAATGTGTACCGAACAGTTTGTGCTGTGTTTTATATAGTAAAGTCAAAGAGTTGAAAGACTGGTCTTCCAGTGATATTGATACTACACTAAATACTGGAAATGAGTTATACAGACATTTATCTAGAAGTTCTACAGTGAATACTCGATACTTGTTGATAAATGAACTGCCAAATGAATTGGATTTGCTGAATCATCATTTCAGTATGAGGTTTCATGATCCTGTATGTGGTACTTTTGGAGAAGAGTGTAATTTGCCGGAATTTCATATGATGCCGCTGAATCATGCATTAGAACATAGTCTTCAGCAATACTATGCAAGTTTCATATGTTTCCATGGAAATACATTTGTTGTAATTGCTCAAGATGGCATGTATTATATCTTTGATTCTCACTCTAGAAACCAGCAAGGTTGCCAAGTCAGTGAAGGAACAAGTCTGTTGAAACGTGTCGCTACTTGGCAAGATGTACACAGGTATTGTAGTGATTTGGCAAAATCTATGTGCTTGTCTGATAATGAGCAGTTTGAAGTTACAGGTGTATCTGTGTGGTTAGATGATGAGGAAAGACACGATGCTGATGCATGTATATGTACAGAGGACAACGATGATTCAGTACTGGCAAGGAGTGATCGCAATAAAGCAAAAGTTGATGAAGGAAACTCTGGGTCTATAGTAGATGTTGTTGGTTCTGGTAGTGGCTTGTCAAGGACATGTACGGATCTACCAAATAATTTGAAGGAAGGCAACAAACATAGTTGCAGTGAAATGAGTCGCAGTACTAAAGTCAATGACAACAGTGATGTTGAAATTATGGAAATGGTCCAGATGCAAAGGTTTAAATTTGTTCCCCTGACTTATAATAGGAAGCAGGCAGTATGTAGAGAACATAGAATAGGCCAAGTATCTCTGGACTGTAATGAGGTTTCAGATACATGTGAAGAGATGGGACGACCTGATTTAGTGAAGAAAATTAAAGGAGATGGGAACTGCTTTTTCAGGGCTATATCATTTGCAGTGTCAGGAACTGAAGATAATCATTTGCAGTTAAGAATGGCTACTGTCAATCACTTGTTAAAAAATGGAGATAAATTCAATGGTTTTCTGCGACAAGGATTTGTTAATGTGGAAGAATATGTCATAAAGCAAAGAATGTTTGACTCTGGAGTGTGGGCTACAGAGGTTGAAATCATGGCGATGGCACACATGCTGCATACAGACATATACACATTTGAAGATGTAAATAAGTGGTATGTTTTCTCTGCAAGCACCTTTGAGAGAGAGGCTGCAACATTAGATGAGGCAATATACTTGTACCATAGGCGTAGAATTCACTATGATGTTGTGTTGTCAGTTCATGAATCAACTCAATCAAGAAGGCAATCTGATAATGGACAGCAAAAAGTAACAAGTAATAAAGGAGCAGAATGTGTGAAAAATGGTACCTCCAGTAAATCAGAAAAGAATTCAAAGTGTAAAAGGCGTAAGCGAGCAAATAAAAAATTACAACAAAGAAGGAAAAGAGAGAAAAATAAGGAAAGGTATGCAAAGAAGGTGAAAGGTGAAAAGAATAGGAGTGATGAGCAAAAGCAAAGTAAAAAGATGTATAACCAGAAGAACTACCAAAAGAATGCAGACAAGAAGAAGGAATTGCTAAAAATAAAGTACAATAGTGATATGGACTATAGAGAGCGGCTAATCACTAAGGGGAAAACAAAGTATTGCCAGAATCCCGAGTACAGAGAGGAGCTAATCACTAAGGGGAAAACAAAGTATCGCCAGAATCCTGAGTACAGAAACAAGGTAATCCTTGAGGGAAAAACAAAGTATTACAATAATCCTGAATACAGAGAACACAAAATCAATAAGGGGAAAACAAAGTATTGCCTGAATCCTGAGTACAGAGAGAAGCTGATCACTAAGAGGAAAACAAAGTACCGTGATGATGCAGGATATAGAGAAAAGCTAATAAATTATGAAAAAAGCAAGTGCAAAGCACAGTACCGTAAAGATCTTGCTTATAGACAGAAGAAAATTAATCGAGCAAAATGTAAATATCATGCCAATGCTTCATATAGAAGAAAGCTCATTGCAAGTATCAAAAAGAAATACCGATGTGTCACATCTTACAGAGCAAAGTTAATAAAGTATGGGAAAAGGAAGTATGAAATAAATAGTGAATATCGTAAAAGTATGGCAAAGCTGAATTCCAGACGTGCTGTGATTAACAAAGAGAAAAGACGTAAAATTTGTTTTGTTACAAAGAAGTTTAAAGAAAGCATAGCAAAAGGACCCGAGTATGTGTGTGCTTGCTGTCATAAACTGCTGTTTAAAAAGCAAGTTATACAGTGTAACCTGAACAAATACAGAGATCAGACGTCAATTAGTGACAAATATCTTCATACTTGTAGTGATCATTGTGAATCCAAGTGTATGATTGCAGAATCAAGCAGATCATGTTTATGGATATGTTATACCTGTCACAGAAAATTACTAGTTAATAAAGTCCCTGCTGAAGCTACTGTGAATAATTTAAACCTGATGGACATCCCTGAGGAATTAGCTTGTTTGAATACATTAGAGGAGCATCTAATTGCAATAAATGTACCATTCATGAAAATGATTGCATTGCCTAAAGGCGGACAACATGGTGTACGAGGTCCAGTTGTATGTGTGCCATCAAATATTACGGATACAGTGAAAGCATTGCCAAGGTCTCAAAACGATGATCAGATGATTCGTGTGAAGTTGAAGAGGAAATTGACTTATAAAGGATATTATCAATATCACTTTGTGAGTAAAGAAAATGTGGAGAATGCGTTACAATATCTTCAACATAATAATAAATGGTTCAGTGACATTAAAATAAATGCTGATTGGGACAATCCGTTGTGTGAAGATGATAAGGAAATTGATCAGTCTGTACCTGACATGAAAGAAGAAGCCAATAATGAAAGTGATAACAGTGATGAGGAAACTGATGACGATCGTTTACGAGGCATTGCATTAGACACTTGTCTTCAGCCAACTAACGTAGGACAGGAAATACTTGATCAGTATTTTGAGGAAGTGCTGTGTGTGGCTCCATGTGAAGGCAATAGTCCAATCAGAGTGTTAATGGAAAAGGGTAACGAAGCCAAATGCTTTCCAGCATTATTTCCATCAGGTCAACCTATTTTTGATGATGATCGTGAAGTGAAATTGACACTTTGCCGATATTTTCATAACCGATTGATGAATGTTGATAATAGATTTGCAATGTGTACTCAATATATCTTTTATGCTCAGTATTTGTCAGAGATTCAGAGAGTTATGTCAAGTGTTTCTATTGCATTGCGAAAAGGATCTGATAAAAAGTATAATGGTGACAGTGTGAATGCCTCCATGATCAATGACAGGGACCAATTGCAAGATATGTTGAAGTCAGATAGTGGATACAAATTTCTCAAGCCCATTCGTGGTACACCCCCCTACTGGCAAGCAGCACAGAAAGATGTTTTGGCTATGATCAGACAGTTAGGAATACCAACATGGTTTTGTTCATTTTCTGCAGCTGATATGCGGTGGCCTGAGGTAATCAATACAATTTTAAGACAGCAAGGTGATTCTAGAGATGTGGAAGATTTGGACTGGAATGAGAAATGTACCATATTGCGAAGTAATCCTGTAACTGCTGCGAGAATGTTTGATCAGCGATTCCATACGTTTCTGAAAGATGTTGTACTGTCCAGAGCTGAACCGATAGGAAAAGTCATAGACTATTTTTACAGAGTAGAATTTCAACAAAGAGGGTCGCCACATACACATTGTCTTTTCTGGATTGAAAATGCACCAAAGTTGGGAGATGACAGTAAAAGAGAGGTTGAACAGTTTGTTGACAAATATATAAGTTGTAAATTACCATCAAAGGACAAGGATGAAGAATTAAATGAAATTATTAGTCATGTACAGTTGCACAGCAGAAAACATTCCAAGTCATGTAAAAAGAAGGGTACTGAGTGTAGGTTTAATTTCCCAAGACCTCCATCTGAACGAACATTCATTACTGAGCCCATGCCAACAGACGATGAGGATCAAACTAATGGTGAAAGCAGTGAAAAAAATAAGGCTAAGGAATTGCTGCAATCAATATGGACTGCAATACAGAAAACTGAGAATGAACACATGACAACCAATGAATTGTTTGCAAGTATAAATTTGACACAAAGTGATTTCGAAAAAGCTGTTGATGTATTAAGTTGCAAAGCCAGTTTAGTTCATAAGAGACAACCACAAGATGTATGGGTTAATTTGTACAATCCAGATTTGATAAGATGCTGGAATGCAAACATGGATATTCAGTATATTTGTGATGCCTATGCTTGTGTTGCTTACGTGGTATCGTA